GATGATGATGATGATGGTGATGATGGTGGTTTTGATGAATATGATGATCATGTTGATTACAATGATGTTCATAAATGCATATATATACAAAATTTAGCATGAACTTTAAATTTAAAAAATATGCTTTAGGATGAATAAATGTTTATGCAGCCTGGTCTTAAACTCGGCCCTGGCCCCGGCTAAATTTTGTCAAACCCCGCCCGGGCCCCAGTCAAATATCAACCCAGTTGTTTACCACAAAACATTTCAAGAATAAAAAACGTTGTGTTATTTTTAAAAACAATTACTTATTTTATTCTATTACGACAATCACATATATATATATATATATATATATATATTTTATATATATATATATTTATTATTACTTTTTAAATTTAATAATAATCATACTATTTCAATAACATTTTTTAAACATTTGCTTTCAGATTGACAATGATAAAAGTTTTATTTTTTGATTTAGATTCTGTATCTAAATCAAAAAATAAAACTTAAACCCAAACTCACACGCATAAATTTTACTCACACACGTAAATCCTGTAAATTCACTCACACACATAAATCTTAAAAAAGATGTTTATATTTTTATTTATAAATTGTAAATTTAATATAAATAAATTGTATATTTTTTATGTTTTTGATTGTATATTACTATTTGCATTAAAAATCGACTTTGGAAATATTGCAAGTGCAGAGTTCAACATACAATTTTGTTTTATTTGCAAATTCAATATACATTATAGCCAAGTTTAATTACGTTTAATAACATTTTGCGATTTTTTCTCTAGCGCATTTGAGCGTTGATTTAACGTTATATTTCAACCTTTACTCGATGTCTTTGAGTCACGTTAAATCATAGTCATAATAACAGATAGTCTGGCCAGTTAAAAAGCGCTATTGTTTATCTTTTTGTTAGCATTTTTTTAGAACCCAGTCTACCAATGAGTGCACACTTTTTGTAAACAAAGACGCGTTAAAAACAATATTTACAAAAAAGTTATTTATTTAACCTTGTTATTTGCAAATGCCTGGTGCTAATTGTTCCATTTTTGGCTGTGGTACTTCTCGAAGAAATAAAGGTGTTTCACTTTTTAAAATACCATCCTCCGATGATGATTTCAACAAAGAATGGAGAATAAAAGTTTTGAATATTTTTACTAAAGATAGAGTAGTTGATGAAAGCGTTAGGTCCCA